CCCCCCCCCTCGCCCATCCTCCCGCGGTTTCCGTCGCTCCAGTTGCACGGACTCTACGTGGTCGGATAGACGCCGTCTTTCTGGATGTGCCGAGTCCCTGGCTGGCCATTCCCCTGGCCGCAGCAGTCTTGAAGGCGAACGCGCGCATCGCCACGTATTCGCCATGTTTCGAGCAGGTTTTCAAGACTTGCGAGGCCCTGCGGGAGCATAACTTTCATTCCATTCGCACCATGGAGGTACGGCACAAGCAGTTTGAGCTCAGGCGGACGTGCATGCCGCATTTGGATTTCGGGGACGGGGATAGCGTCGGGGTGGGGGAGGATCTGGGTGGGGCCGCGGAGAAGGGAAATGGGGTGGGAGGGGATGATCAAAACACCGCTCATGCCAGAGAGACAGGACCGAAAAAGTCCGAAAGTGAAGGCATGGAAGCATGGCGGAGTAAACGGAAGCACAGGGAGGCGGAGGGCGGGAAAGATGCCCGCCCGTTCGCGAAAGCGCGTCCCGTCATGCGGGGCCACACAGCCTTCCTGACCTTCGCCGTCGCCGGTCTTCACCCACCCAAGAGCCTAGGCCCGGGCGCGGTGGGACCGACCGTCCCTGCTCCCTGGATACCGACCTCGGGGCCGCCAGCACCGGCTCCGGACCCGGTCGACGAGCTGGCCGCTGAGGCTTGAGCAGAAGGAATCGATCTCCTCTATGTAACAAAAAAAACAGCAGAAGGAATCGATCTCCTCTATGTGACAAACGAAACAGCAGAAGGAATCGATCTCCCCTATGTGACAAAAGAAACAGCAGAAGGAATCCATCTCCTCTATGTGACAAAAGAAACCAAATAATAAACAGGCGATTTCCTATCAAAGTTATTACTTGCTTTGTCGAGCATGGCTCTTGCCCCCGAGGAACTGGTCTGTCCCCTTCCCCCCTCTTCGGCCCCTCAGCCCTCCACCAAAGCCTTCCACTTCTTCACCAGGCCCTTCCCTAGGAGCGCCACACCCGCGTCCTCCGCCTTCTTCAGCTTGTTCACCACTCGCCCGATCGACGTGGCGGTCAAGATGGTCAGAGACATGGGCTCAGCCTCCAGGGTCAGCAGCGCCTCCCGCACCCGCGTCCAATCCTGCTTGACCTTCGCCCCCTCAATATGTCTACCCAGCTCATTGACCCGCGCCACGCCGGCTTGGTCCGCTTCGGAGAGCACGGCGACTTCCATCCTCGCACGCTCGTCCAGGGGGGCGGCCTCCTGACTCCCTTGGGCCGCTAGTGGATGGGCTGTGTCCGCCATCCTAAGGGCTCCAGAAGCAGGGACCATAGGAGCGGGGGTAGAGGCAGCAGAAGGAGTTGCAGACGCCGCACGGACGGCAGCGGCGCCAGCCTGTCTCTTCTTGAATTGCTTCTTTATTTTTGTGACGATGCGCTCCAAATCCTTGACCCGGCGGTCCCACGTCCCGTCGGGCAGCAGGAAGACGCTGCTCCCGTCCTCTCCCTGCGGGGGGAGGTCGCCCGGGAGAGGGTCTGCGTCCTCCTTCTGCCACGCCAGCAGCAGGTCCAGGACCTCGAGAGGAAGCGGTCCGAAACCGTTGAACTCCCGCACGAGCAGCGCGCGCGTGGCCGCCAGGGTAGGGGCCACGAATCGATCCCGGCCTGTGCCTCGACCGCCGTATCCCCCTAGCCTGGTATTTCTGTCCTCCTCCTCCGTCACGGGCGCGCCGGTCGTGGCCGCCGGCCAATTTCCCGCCTGGGCCTGGTTACGCATCAAGTAGGTCATGCCGGCGCGGATCATGGGGTTCTCCTCGTGGCTCCCGAGCACACGGAGGGCATCGATGGTCCGGCCCACGGACAGGACGTCCCTCTGAAGAAGCTGCACAGCCAAGTGTTCGCGCAAGAAGAAGTACTCGTGCGGGAGCAAGAGGGCCGGAATGCGGAGCTCCCCGCCCCGACTCAGGGCCCACACCACGCTGGTCGCCAGGCAGACTTGGTCGCGGTACACGGCAGCCTCCACTTGGGCGGGGCCCCGGTAAGGGCGAACACAGGGCAGCCACTTGAGGACATGGACGAGTCGACCTTCCTCGGCCAAGGCTGCCGTCTGCGGCTCGGATTCCTCCATGGTAGCGGCCTTGGGAGAGGCCGCGCCTCCGTCTTCCACGGCAACAGCCCCGTTGTCTTCTTCCCTTTCTTCGGGTTTTGCTCTCCCTCCCGTCCCTCTCCCTCTCCCTCCACGCCGGCGCCCCTCCTCCCCTTCGCTCCTGTCCGCCACCAGGCCTGAGAGCTCCAGCACCATCATCCACTCCACGCTCAGCGCCAACACGCGCTGTTGGGAGAGCCGGGGACCCGTCGGATCGAAGGGGTCCCGGAGCGACGCGGGGGGGGGGGCATGGAGCGGGTTCCAGCCTAGATAGTCTTCTATGCTCCATGTGGACCGGTGGGCAGCCTCCGGGACAGGAGACGAGGGTGCTCGCTCGCTCCCCTCTCTCACGCTGACGAAGGCTTTCAACAGGGCTCGCTTGGATTCCTCCTGAGCATACATCCCGGTTCGTTCCAAAGAAAAAATGCGACGGACTGCCACAATTAAAGTCTGCTGCGTTGTGGCCTTGCCAATGTCCTCCTGGTGGGCGCAGCGCCCTCCCTCGAGACTACCGGCTGCTCCGCCGCTGCCATTGCCTTGGCGGACTTGGGAGGGGCCCCACTGCTCTTGTGCATTTTCCACCTTCCATTTTTCCAGAGGCAGGTGTGCTGCTTCCAACACCTCCTGTCTCACGGGGTCCCGGGTTAGACGAACCATGTCCAGGACCGCCGGAAGAGTCCTCAGGCCCTCGCACTTCTCACTGTTACTGTTAGATGCCGCGTGCTTTAGCAGCCATGCCACTCCGTCTCGTACTGCTTCACGTCGTTCAATCCCCTGCCAACAAGCCTCCCAGGTGTCTGCATCGAAGGCCTCGCTCTTGCCCTGGCTAGGACCCGCAACTTTCCCACTCGACAAAGGACCGCGACCGGCAAGTAAACCCCCTTTTTCCTTCTTCAGTCCGGAAGTTGACGGCCAAGACGGTGATGGAGCCGCCCTTTTCGACACCTTTGAACCCCATTTGTCCTTTTATTGCGGGGAGACATGCGTGGATAATGTAAACTTTGCGGCTCCCATTGAAAGGAATCAGGAAATGCCGTATCCCTCCTCTTACCCCTTTCAGGAGACGCTTCTTCTTCTTCAGCTTTCCCGGTGCAGCTTCGACAGGATGCAGCATTCTACTATTCCCACGTCACGCGAGGTGCTTATTTATCCTGTCGTATTAGATTCATATCCCAAAAAAGAGGAAAATTGCAGAGAGTCGAATGAAATTTGACAAAGCAGGCAACGAGAGGTAGGGGACTGGGCAACCCGTGGCTGCGTGAGCGATAAAAGCGAGGTCACAGAACACCTCGGATTAATAATTTTACAGGCAAATTGAAACCTGATCCATTTGCATAGTTTTCCTGTGCCACAGCAATAACATTAATTTGGTAATTATATTTACGATCGCAAAACGAACTTCGCATTCGTTGTAGCCTAATGGGGGAAGGGGTCGGCGGACATGTCACTTGAAGGTCAGGGAACCCCATGAAAAACGCCGCGGAAAAACGAGAGGACAGGAAAATACTTTCGAATGCAATACCTTTCGATGATTTTCAGTACATTTGTAAGGCAACAGAATTTATTTGCCGTGGCGGGAGAGTAAGGCATAACCCGGATATTAAGTCAAAGCAGCTCCGTGTTCGGAGGAGCAGCCTATCATCAGTAGACAAGCCTCTGTCGATGCATCAAGACACTAAAACGATTTTTACTCTTATAAAGCTGCGAATCAAATCCAACGATGAGTCAACCACTCCCAGTCTGCTTTATTCTCCGACTTTTCTCGGCCTCTATGTAATAGATTGTGCGAAGGCGATAATCATTTGGTCTCATTGGTCTACGTAGCCTTCGCGCCAAGAAATGTTCATGGAGGTCGGGGAGAAGCGAAGAAGAAATCACTGATCACAGCTTGGAAAGCTGATTTATTAGGTTGTTAGGTGTGAACGAAACGCAGAGCACATTGGCTCCTACACCAAAGCTTGAATGCCTCGAGCCGAGATATTGGGAGATTGTGTCCCTCGTGAATTTTTGCAATGAGCAAAACTACTTTAAAAAAACTCTGAAATTTTTACTTTGGAGATAAGACAAGTGGATTTTACGGAGGAAAAGAGACGTCGATGTTTTAAAAGGGTAGTTTTTCTTCCCGACAAGTATTTGTCACACACACTGAAGACAGAAAATGTTTGCGGCCTGCGGGTAGGGGGGTTAGGGGGATATGAAGTTTGATTGAAAATTCATGAGAGTAGACTGCAAGTTAGAGTAGATTTAAAAACTGGTAACGATCTAAAAAGCGTTCATTTTGTCACGAAAATGGACAGGATCAAAGTGCAGAGGAAAAAAGCTTGGGATATTTGGGAGAGTGTTGTAGGGATCCTCGACCCCAAATAACATGCTGCCGAACCATGTTATTTTGACTTTCTCGCTTATCTTAGGGGGCTAAGTATCATTTTTAATGCTCTACTATCCTCACTTTGTATAAAATATGCCACCTAGTCGGCAGACAAACATGAGCGATGATGTCTCACTCGACTTTCCGCCGTGGAGCCTGAGCCCAGATACAAGAAAAAAATGTGGAAGAACAGAGGAAGTGTTTAAGGCACTAAATCCCACTCTTACGTCCGTAAATCACACAGATCTTGACAGAAATTTTGCCGTCTATAGAAGGTGTACAACATCTGTAATTTGACTACCGCCTCTTTAAAATGCCTAATAAGCTATAACCATAGATGGGGCGCGGGGCAGCGATCGAGAGGAGGTGCCTGGGCACGTACTTGCAGTTAGTTCCCGTCGGAGAACGTGACATTTTCGCACCCGTGAGCGCCTCTGTACAAATTCAATCGCTCGTACAAGTTGAAAAAGCAATTTACATGCCACCATGAATAACTTGCATAACAAATATGCCCACAGGAGCGTGACAGATTTCCAGCCCCCACCAAAATGCTGCTTTCAAGCGCCTTTACTTCCACAAACACCAAGATATGCGACAATGAAGCTGCCAAACTACCCGTGGAGATGTTACTTGCCTCTTTCAATGAGTGTATGAGACCTTTACTCAAGTGGATCAGTTACAGCTGGCTCGAGCTTATGCGAAAGTCTACTTGGTCTGACGCCACCGTCTTCGCTTTGGGAACGTACACTATACACCAAAGCATATCGGCTGTATTTTCAATTTTCTATTGCATTTTGCATTCCCAAAAGAAATTCTTGCAGTATCGCATCCAA